GTTATATCTGGAGATCAAAATAGTATCGATTGTGGGTAACAATGAAGTCTTTGACTTTATTTCATTTTAAAAATATTTTGATCAGGATAAATCGTGTAGCAAATGTGACTTCCTGGCTCCCTGGTTCCCGAGAAAGTTGTGAGGAACTAGGTCTGCTACACACGAGTGGAGCATTCCCCCACAAGAACTGCATTGTGAAATTGTAGAGAAACAGGATGGACAGACAACACAGGAAAAAAGAAGGGTGAATGGGAGATAGGAATGCAAAGACTAGAGAGTGAGAGATAAACAATAGAGAATGGAGAGTGGGAAGGCTGGCCTTTTTGACCAGCGATTGCTGGGATCTGACCCACAGGAGAATGTCCTGCTTCCCCACTGACCTCCACACCCACTCAGCCTTAAGTCATTGCAAAATCATGGCAGGAGAGGTTGGGCTCTGTGGAGAGGAGACAATAGCAGGAAGCATCTTGAACTCCCCGGAGCTCTGTGCTTGGACTGCACTGGGCTGGGGAGGGACTAGTCTGAGTTACCGCCGAGGGAGTTGGGAGACAGGCAAGTCACCTCTGGTGGTCAGTGAGACCAGAAAAATAGAGGTAAACACTGAAAAGGTGACTCTATTCTGAAATCCACTGTGGCCCATTAGGCCACCTCAGGGCGGGTCAGAAAGAGCAAGTCCTCCTATCGGACAGGAGAGAGATTTTGAGAAGACATCACAAAAGAGACAATGGGGCATTCTGATGACTCAGCACCCCAAATCCAGCACCTGCCAACTCCTCAACAGTTGCCCCCAATGCTAATGCTCTGTGGCTGGGTGGCCACCATTTTTGGGGTCCACAGCCCAGATGCTGTGGTGAGCTATAGTGTTGGGCAGCACCCATCCCCAGCCCGGGCTCTCTTGTGACAAGCTCTGCACTTCCATGACCTATTGTCACCTATCCATGCCCGTTTTGAGGGGTGAATTTTGAATATTTCCCCAGTCATGGGAGATTAACACCTGTGGGACTTACTGTTGCTGGGGAGCTGGGTGGACTGCGGCACTACTGCTTCCCCTAGCACAGCAATTTTTAGGCTCAAAGTGATAAGCTCCACCCCTCGAGGCAGTGAGAGACAAGAAAAGCCACATTCCCTGTGCAACTTGTGTGAATCTGCAGGGCCTTGGTGCAGATCAATAGTTGACAGCTCAGTGACTGCTTATCAGACTGGCTTAGTTCATCCAGTAGGATCATAACTCTGGGGCCTGATTTCTGCATCCGGTCAGCTACCAACAGTGGGGTTCATGGTCAGGGAAGAAAAATCCTGGCCTGAGGCCACAGCAGGTGCACCAAGTAACCCTTCCCATAAGGAGCAGCCTCCCAACTGTGGTAGAAGAACCCTGAGTCACATATTAGCAACTCCCCCTAGCGGCAGATCAAGCAACCATAGAAGCACACATATCCAGGATGCCTTGCTCCTAAATACCACCTACTGGCTCAGAGACTAAATAGAGGGTGTCATTATCCAAAGGAAAACCAAAATATAAGAAGTGACAGCTGATCCAGATGGATCCAGTTCCAGCAAAAGAACTCTGGAAGTATGAACAATCAAATGAAAAGCACACCACCAAAGGGGAACAATGGCACTCTAACAATGGAAATCAACCAAATTCAAAACACTAAAATGACACAAGCAGAATTTTTGACATGCATTGTAAGAAACTCAGTGATATGCAAGAAAAAATGTATAACCCCCAAAATGAACTCACGAAGAAATCCAGGACTGGGAACAAAAATTCACTAAAGAAATTGAAATATTGAAGATAAATCAAACTGAACTCCTGGAAATGAAGAATCTAATCAAGCAATTACGAAACACAGTGGAAAGCCTCAAGAACACAATAGATCAAACAGAAAAATAATCTAAGGGTTTGAAGATGACACATTTCAATTACATGAGTGAGTCAGAGATGTAGAGTAGAGAGATAAAAGAGCAAAGCGTACTAGAAATGTGGGATTATGTGAAGAAGCCTAACGTGAGAATTATAGGCATCCTAGAGGGTGAAGAAGTAAGTACGCAATGGTTGAAAAAACTATTTGAAGATATAATAGAGGAAAATTTCTCAGGCCTTGGCAAAACTCTAGATATCCAAGTACAAAAAGCTCAAGACTCTGGAAGGACTCCTGGGAGATTCATCACAAACAGGAAGACACCATGACACATAGTCATCAGATTGAGCAAAATAACCACCAAAGAGGCCCTCCTATGAGCTGTAAGGCCAAATAAGCAGGTAACCTACAAAGGAAAACCCATCCAAATAATAGCAGACTTCTCAACTGAAACTTTACAAACAAGAAGAGACTTGGGCCCCATTCTTACTCTTCTCAAACAGAAAAATGTCAAGCCTAGAATCCTCTACCAGAAAAACTATGTTTTGTATATGAGGGAGAAATAAAGACATTAGCAGATAAGCAAAGACTGAGGGAACTCACCAAGACAAGACCTGCCCTCCAGGAAGTACTTAAAACTGTGTTACACACAAATCAGCACAATAAACACTCACGGATGTAAAATCACTCAGAAGTTAAAGGTCAAAGCCCAGATACCACAATGGCTGAAGAGAGAAAACAAAGCAGCAAAGTTCGATTCAAGAAGATGAACAGAAATTTTCCCCACTTATCAATTCTCTCAGTAAATGTGAATGGCTCGAACTGCCCGCTAAAGAGCCATAGGCATGCTGAATGGATAAGTGGACACAAGACAAGTATCTACTGTCTTCATGAAACACGCCTCTCCTGCAGGGATGAATTCATCCTCAAGGTAAAGGGATGGAAAACGGTATTCAAACAAAATGAAGCCAAACGATGCTGGCGTGGTGGTTTTGATTTCAGATACTTAGTCTTTAAATCAACAAAATCAATGAAAGACAAAGAGGGTCACCATATAATGGAAAAGGGTGTAGTTCAACAAGAAGTCATAACAATTCTAAACATTTATGCACCCAACTCAGGTGCACCCAGATTCATAAAGTAAATCCAGTTGATCTAAACAAAATGATAAACAGCAACAGCATAATATCCAAAGACTTCAACACTCCGCTGACAGTACAGGACAGATCCTCCAAACAGAAAATTAATAAATAAACAATGGATTTAAATCGAACTCTAGAACAAATGGGCCTGACTGACATTTACAATCTCTGGGAAATCTCTGTACCTCATGTTCAATTTTGTTTTCAACTTAAAACTGCGCTAGACAATACAGTCTGTTAAAAATGTATGTTCTAATAAGCCAAAATCTACTCTTTCTATTTCTTAAATGCACAAGTTTTCATGTCTTATATATTCCTTTTTCATATGACTTCTCCTTTAATATCATTCACATATCTTATGTCAGTGCTAATAGTTTTGCTATTTATTATGCAATTATATATTAACAAAAGTGTTAACAAATAGGTAAGTGTATGATCAAAAATTAATAACTTTGTTTCTAGTCTCCACTATTTTATCATGTATTGTATTTTATACCCCAAGTTTACTGCATGAGAAATGATTATTGAATAATTTCTTTTTTTATTTCAACTTTTATCAAAAAGTTTATCTGTCTATTAACATATACATTTTACTCTATTACACAAATAGTTTATTTCAACTTTTATTAAAAGCAAACCAAATCCAGTAACTTTTCCAATGCTTTACTAGAGGATTGTCTCACAACTGAACCATTATTTCTGGAGGGTTAATGGATAATTTCTAAGAGAAGTGTGGTTGCACATGTGTTCCTGTGACAAAAGCATATGAGTTCTTCTGTAGCTATCCTAATATTGATGTATTATTGCATTCACCACACATGTCTTGTAATTTGACAAGTTCTTATAGTAATATGTTGCCCTCAGGGTATCTACATTTATTAAGCTATCTAGAGGTTTTCTGGAAATTGATATTGGCCTAAATAAGAAATGTTTATAAATAAAGGGAAACTTGCTACAACCAAATGTAACAGCTAAGAACAGTCTAAAAGAAAATAACAGTGTGTTAAAACACATCTAAGTATACAGCCAAATTATTTCAGAAAAAAAGCCCAAAACTAGCTATTTGGGAGATGCTAGTGGTTTACTATACTCTCTGTCTCTCTGTCTCTCTCTTTTTTTTTTACAAACCAGCCAGTTAAAGACATTGTCTATCCCTAATCAGCACTTAATTTAGGCAAATATTTAACCTCCCTGTGCATAAGTTCTCCTCATCTTTATGATTATAGTTATAGAGTGCCTGCTTCACACATCATCAAGAATGAAGAGGATACATTATGTACTGCCTTCATAGCAGGAATTTAAACATTATTAATTAATTTTCCTTAAAATTTTTACATTCAAATTTTGGAAACCTCTTAGTTAAATAAAAACATCCATACATATTTGTAGGGAATTAGTGGGAAATTGGGAATATTGGGTTTGAACTGACGTCTTACATGAAGCCCCTGCTTCATCTTCCTAGGCATGATCATCTGGCTCACAAGGCCTGTAACTGACAGGATGGCTGCCAGCAAAGTGGCAATAGGAATCATCTTCTTATCACAGACTGTTGTTGGTATTATAGGAAATTTCTGTCAAATTTTCCATCATCTGCTTCTGTGGTTCTCTGGAAACAGGATAATATTCATGGATATGATCCTTAATCACTTGATTGTAGCCAACTTGTCAATCCTCCTCTGTAAAGGAGTGCCCCAGACAATGGCAGCTTTGCATTGGAAAGGTTTCCTCAGCACCTTTGCATGCAAACTTCTTTTCTATCTTGACAGAGTGGGCAGAGGAGTGTCCATTGGCAGCACCAGCCTATTGAGTGTTTTCCAGACCATCACGATCAGCCCCAGGAGCTCCAGGTTGGCAGAGCTTAAGGTAAAAGCTCCCAAGTACATAAGCTCCTCCGTATACCTGAGCTGGATCCTGTGCATGCTTGTGAATAGCGTCTTTCCTATGTTCATGACTGGAAAATGGAGCAACGCAAACATCACAGGGCAAAAAGATTTTGAATACTGTTTTTCTCTTCATCATGACAAAACCAGTGACATACTGCATATATCACTGCTGTCATTCCCTGACATGTTCTCTCTGAGGCTCATGCTCTGGGCCAGCAGCTTCATGGTTTTGGTCTTGTACAGACACAAGCAGCAGGTGTGACAGGTACCAAGGTCTCCTCCAGGTCATATCCTGAGTCCAAAGCTCCTAAAACCATCCTTCTCTTGGTGAGCACCTTTGTCTGTTTTTACACTCTCTCTTGCATCTTTCAGGTTTATTTGGATCTTATAATTATCCCAGCTTTCTCTTGGTGCACAGTCCTGCAATATTTGCTGTGTGTTTTCCAGTTTTCATCCCCTTTCTGCTCATGAGCTGTGATTCCAGTGTATCGAGGCATTGTTTGCCTGGATAAGGAGGAGAACCCCGTAATTGTATAAGAAACATATAAATGTTTAGCTTTTGCTGAGTGTCGAAGTGTTTAGTTACTCTTTCCCATAGAATTGCACATACCATTATGAAAATCATATGATTAGAAAGTGGTTGTATACACACACATAGCTTTGTATGTTTTAAATGTTTACATGTGTATGTATGTATGTTTGTGTACATAGCAGTCATTTTGTGTTTATTATCTATTAAGGAATAATACTAAAATATTTCACATAAGTATTGTCAATTTTGGATTAAAAATAATACGAATTTCAACAATGACAAGCTAATTAACATCAAATATGTTTTATTTTATGTATGTTTTGGTGTAGTTGATTAACTTGTTAAATTACATGGATTATATTTTTTACTTCTACACTCTTATTCTTATCTTTTAGCTTTGTGTCTTGAAACAAATTGCTGACTATATATGGTCAATGCTTATCTTTAACAGGACAAATTGGTATTATATATTTCATATGTAAATGTACATATTTGAGAAGCTTTTAGTAACTATTTATGTTACCATCCTCACATCTGGTCTATTTGCTTGACTTCTGTGTTAATTTATTTCCATAATTGTACATTTTACCCCTTTTTGTGGGCTACTGTATATTTGAAGTCTATTAGACTTCAACCTGGAAATGGCAGCATATTTTTATTAAATACTAGTCACACTGTAAAATTATTTACCCTTTTATCCACCTTCACATTGTAAGATATTATGTATGAATGAATGTATTTGCCTTCATACAACTGATTTTTAAATTGCCAATCTGTACTTTAAAAAAAATTTTATGGGTGAGTAAGGTGTGCACTGTTCAATTAATTTTGGCAAACAGAGCCTAGCCCTCTTGCAGCTCCTATTTCAAAAAAACAGAGTATTTTCAGCCTTGCAGATCTCTCTGCGTGCTCACCCAATTGCTATCAGCTGTGGCTTCAATGTGTCTTCCAAAACTTCATGTGTTGGGATCTTAATTTCCAGTGTGGCTGTATTGGAAGATCGAGACTAATGGGAGAGGTTTAATTTAAAGGGGCTCCACCCTCATGAATGGAATAATTCTGTTTTCACTGTAGCAAGGTGGTCATTACCATAGAGAGTTTGTATAAAGCAAGCCCAGCCCCTTGTGGTTTTTTTCCACACACAATGTCTTGCTCTTTCACTTTCTGCTGTGTTAAGATGCAGCACAAAGGCCCTCACCATCCTGACTTCAGCATCTTGCACTACCCAGCTTCCAGAATCATAACCCAAATTTTCTCCTTTTCTTTCTAAATTACCCAGTCTCTGATAGTTTATTATAACAGCAGAATATGAAATAAGACACTGTCTCTAAGAGTGATCATGATAGTGATGTCTAACAATATATATCATTTTACCTCTTTTGTACTTTACATACATGAAACTGTATATCATAAACTTTTATTTCACTTTTAAAATTTTATATGTTTAAGTTGTCTGTATTTCATACATTGTTAGTGATAGAATTTAATTGTGTAAATAGAATATTAAAGAATTTTTTGGCTGTCAAAAAACTTAAATTTTGTTATAACAGAAGAATATGAAAAATATATCTGTATAATGAATCCTGTCTTACTGATCAAAGTCTTTGTTATTTTTTTGCACACCTGACCTCTTGTTGGAGATGATAATGATGCTATTGCATTTTATTATTTTTCTAAGTATTTGATTGATTAAGAAATAATGTACCAAAAGTAGATTAGGAGAAGAAAAATTGAGAGCTTCTGAGTTATATAGCTAGTGGCCATAAACCTAGGTACCAAACCCTGTGTACTGTACACACAGGCCTTCAGTCAAAACCTATTTATTGTAGAAAAGTTTGGCTATCTTATTTTCTTATTGACATTATTTTAAGAAACAACAAATTAGCCATTGCACATGTTGAAAACAGTAAATGTCTACCGCTCCTTTTTATTCAAAGCACTGAGATTTAATAGTTGCTAATCTCTAAAAAGAACTATATAAAATCATGAAACTAAAATACATACCAGTTTGGAGCCATTTCCATGGAGTGGAAGCTGCATTACCTGCCACTGTAGGCTTTGATGGCATGGCTTTCAAACAATTAATTTGGTATTTCTCTCTTGGTGCACATGGTGAGTGTTTTTCTATTTGTAGTATCATGAATACTGGTAGCATTTAAGTCCTGAAACATGTTTTCATGACACATATATGAATTTCTATTTTTTAAATGTATATGCATGTATGAATGTATGGACTTCTTGGGGTTAAGTTTATTATTATTAAGCATTACAAGATACAAACAAACTGTTATCTAAAAGATTTGTGTAAGTTTCAACCTGTATAACTTCTTAATTTTGATACAATATAATTTCACAGGTATCCCTGTGTAGTTAATATTTTCATTCTGTTAAAAACACTACTGCAAGACTGAGACAGGCAGAGGAGGTGAGACCAGATGAGGAAGAGCAGACCAGACCAGACGAGATCAGACAAGGAAGAGGAGAGGAGACCAGATGAAGAAGAGGAGATGAGACCAGATAAGACCAGATGATGAAGAAGAGACCAGCCGGAAAAGGAGACCGGACTGGAAGAGGAGACCAGACCAGACGAGATCAGATGAGGAAGAGGAGAAGAGACTGGATGAGAAAGATGAGAGCAGACTGGAAGAGGAGGTGAGGCCAGATGAGAAAGAGGAGATGAGACCAGATGTGGAAGAGGAGCCCGGACTGGATGAGGAAGAGAGTGCTGACTTCTTAATATCCAAACTTCATTCAGACCTCACGAACCATCCTGTAAGATAGGTATTGTTCTTTACCTTGTTTACAGATGAGGAAACTAAGGCTTAGAGAAGTTATATAATCTTCCCAAGGTAACACCTTAACTCATGAAACTAAGAATCAAGTCTCTGCTTTAGCCACTGTGCAAGTCAGATACCTTCTTTCTGCCTGTGTAGTTGTTCCCACAGCTTCCTCCAAAGGTGTCCTCAGGTAGGCCCTGGGGTTGAGCTACAGCTGCTGTCCTGGTGATTTCCAGCCCCAGATTTTATTTTTACTGTGGATGGGGTGAGGGGCACAGTCCTGGGCTGGTGAGCAGAAATTGGGCTCCTTGTGGTGTTCCCTCTCTGGACACAAGAGGACGAACTCTCAGCAGGCATCTCTTGCACTAGGCCTCATGTCTCCATCGGTAACATGGGAAGAATAATCCTACTCCTGGTACCTGCAAAAATTACTCTTTTTTGAGATCCTATATGAAAGAAATCTGCATAAAGGATTAGCACTTATTAGACTATGTATAGATCTAGTCCCCAACCAAAGTTCCAGACTCAATTCCAAAAAGATCCTAGCAAACTTGCAAAACCTCCAAAGGATCTTCACCTCCCTGCCTTTGTTCATGTCTTTCCATGCATCTGAAAGGCGTCCTCATCTTCACCTACCATTATCCTGCCTATGCAAAAGGCCTGGTTCACAGGCTTCCTCCTAGAAGGTGTTTGTGGACAGCTGTCCTTGAAGTGATCCATTTCTCCTACCTAAACTTTGGCTGTAAGCACTTAAGACAGGCATCACTCCTAGCCTAACCATGTAATTACTGATGTATAGGTTGTATAGTACATCTCCTCTAGGGAAGAGATGTGTTAGTTTTTGCTTGCCTAATATCTTCAACACCTTTCAGTAACAGCAACTTGATTTTCCTCTGATGAACAACCTTCCCTCACTTTTAATCCATACGATTTGGATGGGGTGAACCACATTTCCAAATCTAGAGGTAGACATATGATGTAGGCCTATTCAGAGATACTATAATGGCTTTAGTGAAGGGCAGGTGACTCAATTAAAAGCATTGTATATTACTCCTAAGACTTTTGTTAGGACCATTGGCATAAAAAGGTCTATTTTTGCTACAGTTGGATGTAAACATGGAGCTGTGAGCGGCTTTCACATGGGAAAATAATCCTGAGGATGAAGCGACCCAAGAGCAGGTTATAGAAAGAGACCTAATATGGAGGATAACATTGTTGGAAAGCCTTGGATTTTAGATTCAGCTATTCCTGAAACTGTTAATAGAAGTAACCTGCCTAGGACAAATAAATTCTGTCCCCTGCCCACATTCTTTTTTTCCTTTTAAGCCAGTTTGTATTGAGTTTCTATAATGTAGACTTGAAAGATAGGAACACATTATCATTTGTTTACCAACTTTAAGGGCCCAAAGGCCTGATCTTTTAACTTCACATCTGTTAGCATGGTACCTGGTAAGACAGAGGGTTTTGGAGGTGTGATGATTGCTTCATTCAATCTCAATTTCCCTCAGCAACTACAATGAGCAGAGTGAGCCAAGTACAAGGAATAATTAGACATAGTCCTTGCCCTCGAGTAGTTCTGAATTTAGTACAAGGAGGAGGTATGAAAACGAACACTTTATAATATAACTTCGGCTATAAGAGAAATCTGAGCAAATTTTTTTGGGATTCCAGAGGGCTGGAGGTTTGGTGAGATGGAATGTGAGAAGGCTCCTCAGAGGAGGTGACATCTGAGTTGCGTTCCTAAAGAACAAATAGAAGTTCCTAGGCAGAGAAGTGGGTATGGGGAAAAGGTATCCCAGGAATGAGGTTTTCCAGGTGGAGAGAACAGGATTGTATATTAATAATTATAAATTTAATAATAATACCACCATATCCTGTTCTTCCTGTGGCCTTGTCACAAGCTCCTTCCTCTTTCTTTTCCTCTGTATCTTCTATCAGTGGAATCATCATAGTAGTTAAGAGCACAGGGTCTGAGCTCTGAAAAATTTTGGTTCTGCCAGATGGGGTGCTTCATGCCTGTAATCCCAGTGACTTGGGAGGCTAAGGCAGGAGGATCACTTGAGCCCAGGAGTTTAAGACCAGCCTGAGCAACATGGTAAGACCCCGTCTCTACAAAAATAAAAAACTCAGCCAGGTGTGGTGGCACACTCTGGTAGTCCCAGCTACTCGGGAGGCTGAGGTGGGAGAATCACTCAAGCCTGGGTGTTGGAGGATGCAATGAGCTGTGATGATGCCACTGCATTCCAGCCTGGGCAACAGAGTAAGATTTTCTCTCAAACAAACCAAGAACAACAACAACAAAAAAGAGATTTGGTTCTACCACTTACTACCCACATGACCTTGAGCAAAATCACTTACACTTTACAAATAAGGGAAATAGTGTATTTGCCTTATAAGATTGTCAAGAACATTAAACAAAATTACAAATATAGGCAGCCCTCCTCGGGCGGCCATGGCGGCGGCCGTCTGGGCGCGCCGGGGGGCGCCGGGGCCCAACGCTCGCGGCCACGGTGGCAGATGTTCACCGGTTGACGCCAGAGGAGCGGAAGCAGATCATACACGACCTCAAAGCAGCAGGGTGGTCAGTAGCAAGTGAGAGAGATGCCCTCCACAAAGAGTTCTTGTTCAAAAATTTTAATTAGGCATTTGGCTTTATATCCCGAGTTGCCCTGCAAGAAGAGAAGATGAATCATCACCCAGAATGGTTCAATGTGTACAACAAGGTCCAGATAACTCTTACCTCGCATGACTTTGGTAATTTGACCAAAAAAGATGTGAAGTTGGCCAAGTTTATTGAAAAAACAGCTGCTTCTGTGTGATTTCTCCCCAAATGCATGTAAAATCTTGTATACATCTTAGCTGCAATGTATTGTGAAGGCAATTTGCTTAAACAAATTAAGTTGTAAATTGAGTTCACCTTTATATGCTACATTTTATAAAATCAGTATTTAAATACAAAATGTTTTAAATTTGAGCCTGAGGTACTTTTCAGTGTATCTAATCGCATATATAAGATAAGCCAACCCCGGTAATCTTCAGAGAGAGAAATGTCATTCTCAAAAACTAGAAGTTGGGATGGGGGAGTATTCACACATTTTGTAATTCAGAAATTTAAACAATTATGGTGACTTTACAAATGCATTGTTGTAAGGTATTAGAGAATAGTTGTAAGGTGGGAAAAGAATTAGGAACTCTGCAGATAATGGGTTTTAACCTCGTATAACAATTCTTATGACACTAAAGTTGATTTGGATAGTAGCTGCTCTTACTACATAAGTCATCAGATTATAAAAGTCACAAAAATTAGATGAGGTATCTTGGTCTGTTTTGTATTTACTTTTTGGACAGGGAGTCAAAGGAAGAGGCCGTCTTGCCCATTGTGTCTAGGAGGTGTGGCAATACAAGGATTCACCGTCACAGTCACCAACTTGCTAGGTCATTATTTGACTTGATGAGTTGAGGAGGACCTAAGGGTCACTTTTTTTCATCATTTGCATGTTGTGACCCCTGTACTGAAGGTCTATAGTCACCGAGGCTAGAAGCTACTTGGGTATTACCCAATAATGAGCTCTACTTGCTCCATATGACACTGATAGGCATAAAAGTTACCCTGTTATTTAAAGATGGCAATAACAATGTGTTTTGAAGGAACTCAGGAATGTACTTACTAATGATACTATGACCCAGATTGAAAGAGCATATATATTTATCCAAGGAGCATGTATTAGTCCCTGAAAACATCATGGCAGTGAGATTTAACAGGGATCATCTTTGTAACCACCTCAATTTAGAGGCCAGAAAAATCACTCTATATTACAATGAGCCAACATTCCCCTCCCCAACTCACCCCCATCCCAAACCTGAGAAATCCTATGGGGACATGCCAGAGAGGCTGAGCTCTCTGAAGCCAGTTCTTGGCTGGTGCTGTGGGCCAGGGAGAGGCAGATACGGTCATTTACCCTGTGGGCGTGGAGGGAGCAGGGAGGGAAGAGAAGGGAGAGCCGCTCAGGCTCTGTGGCTGTCGGGGAGCCAGAGCTTAGTACTAGAACCTCTGTTTCTTAGAATTTTTCCAAAGGAAAAGGAAAAGCTCTGTGTTTTTATAAACTGTGTCTTTTATTATAGATTGAAACTTTTATACGTTTTATCGCCAAAGGTTTTTAGTTCCATGCTTCAATTTTTTTACATGAATTTTTTTAAACATGAAAAATTTTAAACATTCAAAAGTAGAGTGAGTAGTACATTGAACCCTTACATACTGATCCCTCAGATACAACGATTGCAAATATTTTGCCCCAGTAGCTTCATGTAACGCCGTTTCCTTTTTCTTTGCTGAAGTATTTGAAAGCAAATCCCGGATAGTATATCATTTCGCCCTAATAACTTTCTGTAAGTATCTCTAGAAAATATGGTCATTTTCTTGTATAAACTACAATGTTGTTATCATACCTGACAAAATAGACCATGATTCCTTGGTGCCACCTACTACTCAGGCAAAATGAAATTGTCCTGAAGGTCAGGAATGTCTTTGGACAGTAATTTGGTTCTAATCAGGACCCATATGAAGTCCATGCGTTACGTCTGGTTGTTTTGTCTCTTTTTTCTCTCTGAACCTGGAGCAAGCTCCCCTCCTTTCTCCTCTTTCCCCGTGTAATTGATTTATTGTCAAAACCAGGTCAGTTGTACTGAAAAACATTCTACCTTCTGGATTAGTTTGTTTGCTCCATTGTGGTGTTATGTAGCTTGTTTCCCCACACCCTGAATGGACCCCTTTCCCCTCTTTAGAACGTGAGTCTGAGAGGCTAAACCTGATGGCTGTGTGAACTCGTACCACACAGAGCACGTGGAGAAGGCAGGCTATAGCTCATAATGCCAGTGGTAAAGACCTGAGAATACAGTTAATTGTCATCAACACGAGCGTTTCATGTAAGGTTCATGTTAAGGGCTGTTGCACCTGCTGGAACTTGTAAGCTTTAGTTTAGAGAATCAAATATCCCATGTCAGAAGTCTATGGAAGGCCGGGCGCAGTGGCTCACGCCTGTAATCCTAGCACTCTGGGAGGCTGAGGCGGGCGGATTGCTGAAGGTCAGAAGTTCGAAACCATCCTGAGCAAGAGTAAGTCTCTACCAAAATAGAAAGAAATTCATTGGCCAACTAATATATATAGAAAAAATCAGCGGGCATGGTGGCGCATGCCTGTAGTCCCAGCTACTCGGGAGGCTGAGGCAGGAGGATCGTTTGAGCCCAGGAGTTTGAGGTTGCGGTGAGCTAGGCTGATGCCACGGCACTCACTCTAGCCTGGGCAACAAAGCAAGGCTGTCTCAAAAACAAAAAGAAGTCTATGGAAATACTCATGGTGTAAATTCTGACAGAATGAATCCCCAGACTCGCTTTAAGTAACTCACATTTCAACTTGAAAGAGACATTGTCAAAGTCAGAGGCTGCCAAGTTCCCGTCTGTTCCACATCTTTGCATGATGCCCGTGTTGCTCTAATGTGGTGAGCTTCGGTTTCCCTCCATTTTCGTTTCAAACGATCACTGGAGTAGAAAAAGTTAAATAGACATGACCTATGACCCCTTGCATGACCTCCACAGATAGAATTGGCCCCTCCAGGGCCAATATGTTTGACAGTGTCCTTTTCTCAAACAATGTTAATGGAAATTCTGAAAACAATGGCTATTTTCTGACATTGATGAGATTTAGGAAATCTTCAGATCCATAGAATAAGCATGGTTCTCTATGTTTTGCTATACGGCAGAAACAGCAGATGTAATTTGTATTTGGACGCAGTTTAGTAGTTGACCTCCACCAATTTTTTTTCTACTTGAACTATTGGACAACTGGCTAGTGTTAGGAATGAAGAAGCTCTGATACCTTTCTAATCTGGCATTCAAAAGTATAGTCGTTGAGCTTTGGTCACTTTCAGCTTTCTCATAAATAAGTTTCTGTGAAACATCAAGACGCGTAACAGGTTTGGCTTGTAACAAGTGAGCTTTGTGTTTTGGTGTTAGCTTATCGGGGATAGTGAAGGTATGTGGATCGACCCCTGTCCAAAGGTGTGAGAGGTCACCAGGCCGCCACGCCCTGCTGGCGGCTGACTCCCTGCGCTGGTCTGGCCGGGCGGTGCTGCGCGGAGGTTATCGGCAGAGCGCGAGCCGCTGCTCACAGAGAGACGCTGGCTCCCATCCGGGATGGCTTGTCCTGCCCCTGTCTGTCAACTGGAACGTTATAAATGTATTTACGGTGGCCCTGGATAGCTTGTCACCTGACTTCCTGTTGTTTCTACTCACTTCAGCTGGAGTTTCATTTCCACTGAGTGGTTTTCCTCCGTGACTTTAGAAGCAGCTCGTGGTTGGCTGTGCCGGGGACGTGAATGCTGGAGAACAACTTGGGCTCTTCTCCTGCTGTTTTCAGCTGCTGTCATTTCCTCGCCCTCCAAGCATTGTGGAAGAATTCTCTATGTTTTTAATCTCCTCTGTTTTTCCCTGAAAGTATGCTTTGGTGCTTAAAGAGGGAGCACATGTTGCCAGCAATGAAGAGCTTAAAAAAATAAATGGATAAAGAGAGAAGGCATGAGTTGGAACTTATCAGTCCAAAAAAAAAAAAAAAAAAAAAAAAGAGAGAAGGCACAGAAGCATGCCAGTGGTGGTTCCTGGAGATGAGTGCCACTCTGCCCAGCTGTCTGAGAGAGCACAGGGATCCCTAATGCCATTAATCTGTGTATTCGTGTAGCACACGATTTCTGGGGGGCTCCTGTGCCCCAGGGCATGAGGCACAGTGACATATTGGGACAGGTGGAAACAGAACTGATTCAGGCTCTCTGGGAGCAGCTACCCCCGGGGGCCACTGTGGATGGACATTGGGCAGGAGCCCCTGAGGCACTAGGGGACTTATTACCAAAGGGGGCAGTCAGAGTGATAGGAGGAGCTGACCCATGGGGGAGAGCAACAAGGGGGAGAAGATGGGGGCAGAGTTTGAATCTCGGGGCCATTAATCATAGTGATTCTTAAAGTTTTGCTGTTGATGATTTTAAATGGAGAAAATGAGTAAATATTTCCCAGCTCTGTATATTGGTTGCCCACAAGAGTATTTTCCTACAGGGAATGGTCATGAATCCACTTGTTTTAGAATACCAGGGACAGCAGAGGTGATGGGGTGGTTACGTTCTTTTCTTACAGCTCAAGAACTTAGGTTTTCAGGAAATTTTCTGATTTAGGCACTAAACATGTAACACAGGACTACCCAGATCCCTCTGTCTTGCTTTGCCTTGAAAGCCAAAGCAGTTAGGAGAAGGTGAGTGAGAATACAGTAATTCCAAGAGTTAAACAGAGCAAAAATCTCTGTTGCTCTTGTACTTAAAACATGTCTATCCCACAGGCTCATCCCGAACATTGTATTTAGGTGGTTTATGTGCGGACACTCCATGCCTGCCGTTAGCCACTGCCAGGCATGTTACCTTCTGTGCTCTTCCTGTTTTGTTCTAGCCCCAAACCCATTCAAACCCATTAAAATCTTTCCTTTGTCCTTCAAAGTGTTTCTAGCGCTCTGCTCTGGATGTGTTCTCTCACTCTTAGGACACCGGGAGAACTTTGCTTTTCCCCCTTGTATGACTTAACTTTTTCTAACACATCATTAAGGGCCTTTGTTTATCAGATGAGGCACTTCTTGAAGAAGGGAGGGTGTCCTACCTCTAATGACTCCCAGCTTTAGCCCAGAGCCTCATGATTGCTGGGTGCTCATAACCTTTTTGCTGAACTGAGGACCTCACGGTCTCCTTGGCAAGAGAGAGTCCGCTGGTGGACACGCTGGGGAGCTCGCCTGAGGGGCTGGTAGGCTAGTAATGCACTGGAATGCCCGAGAGTGACCTCATAAAGCAAGGATTCCCTTCGCGGATGCTTCTCTGCTGCCTCTGGGAATTCAGATGCCGAGGAAATCCCTATGTAGAGGTTTTCTGTTGAATGATAAAAGCGAGGAATAAAAATCGAAAATTTGGAAAATGTCTCAAGGCTCATCATGCCAGAACCACTTGAAAGTTGTTCTTAGTTCACTGCTTGATGCTAAGCCGGCGGATTGCTGTGTGAGATGCAGAAACTATTTTATTTTTTTGCATTCTAGTTCACATGGGTCTCTTGAGGCCTTGGCTCAAATGGTTCCTTATCAGTGAGGTTTTCCTTGACCATCCAAATCAGTTAGTCAGTAATCAGTGAGTCAGTCTGTCTCACTCTAGTCATGGGGATGACCTGTTTTGTTTTATGAAAATAAATAAATTAAAAATACACTACAAGATTTCAGAGATGTTCGCCTTTCCTTTAAAACACCATTTTATACATTTAAAATTTAAATCAGGAAAATACTCAGAATCAACTTGTTGTATCTATTGGTAGCTATTTAAATTTTATTTTTTTAAAAAATCAAGCAATAAATTTCAATGTATTCTGAAAATCTTTTTTTTTGGCTATTTTTCTTTTGGCACCTGTCACTGCCTTACCGAGGTAAAGCTCACTTCCCCTCAATGCTGACTTTTCTGTCAATTTTCCTGATGATTTTAGCTCTTCTTGTCTCCTTTAGTTTTTGCAATGCACGTGCATCACACAATCAAGGGTAGTTTTGTGCCAAAAATGTTCAGTGTGAAGAAATTCAGGAAAGATTGTGGAATAACAAGCACCTAAAATCTGTCTCCACTTAGACAACAATTGCACTGGCAGAATCAGTCTGATGTAAATATTTTGGAACTCTGGAGTATTTTGAGGGCTTGCAACTTTGAGGAAAACACTTGGATGGTAACTTTCTGTTAATGTAAATTAATTTCAGTTTTTAGCACAATAGTATCTACCCCTTCCTCATCTCCCAACTCCATGGCAGGCAGATGTGTGTGCTCCTTGAACAGCTTGCATGTATCCTGTATGAGACATGGTGGACAAGAAGAACTCTGTGTTTTAAATATTGTGGAACTGTGTTCTCAGTGCAGATTGCTCCTTTGGGGGTGTTGAAACAGAGGCAGGCAACCATTGTTATACCCCTGTGCACCTCATTTCAAATGCCTATATTTTCTCCTCTGGAATTTAAAAGGCTAGTGTCTTTTCCTGTTTTTTTTTTTTCTTTTCTTTTCTTCTCCCTTTATTGCCACAGATGACAAATCCACAGAAAAAAACACATTAAATTGAATAAACTGGAATACATTTCACTAATAACAAGAACAAGGCAAAATGCCCACTTTCACTGCTTCTATTCATCATAGTACTGGAATTTCTGGTCAGAGCAATCAGGAAAGTGGAAGGAATAAAGGGCATCCAAATCAGGGCATCCAAACAGATCAAAATATGCCTGTTTGCAGGTGATATGACCTTACGTCTAGAAAACCATAAAGACTCCACCAAAAGACTCCTAAAATCGATAAACAAGTTGAGTAAAGTCTCAGGTTATAAAATGAATGCTAAAACATCAAGACCATTCTATACACAAGTAACAGCCAAGCTGAGCATCAAATCAAGAACTTGGTAGGATTTACAATGGCCATAAAAACAAATAAAATACCAAGGAATATACTTAATCAAGAAGGTGAATCACCCCTCCAAGGAGAACCACACAACACTTATGAAAGAAATTGTAGATGATGCCAATGAATGGAAAAATATCCCATGATCATAAATTGGAAGAATCAATATTGTGAGCATGACTGTACTGCCCACAGCAATCTAGAGATTCTATAGAATTCCTATTAAAACACCAAAGTCATGTTTTAAAAATTGGAAAAAAATAATCCGATTTTACTTATGGAGGCAAAATGAACCCAGAATACTCAAAGCAACCTTAAATACAACCAACACGTGTGGAGACATCACTTTTCCTGACTTGAAATTATCCTACAAACTATAGTAAACAAAATAATAGGAGACTGGTATAAAATAAAACACAAGGATTAGTAGAACAGAATAAAGAAAGCAGAAATGCAAACATATATGCCTACAAGCAACAGATCACCCAGAAAGCAGTAAAAAATATAGACTGTGGGAAAGAATTCCCTGTTCAATACACGGTGCCAGGAAAGTTAGATGCCCACAGGCATAAGAATGCAACTGCATCCATATCTGTCACCAACTATGAATACTAAGGCATGATAGGTCACAAACTTACAACTTACAAGTAAGAACTAGCACCATGAAGTTTAACCAAAAAAAAAAAAAAAAAAAAGGCATAGGAAAAATGCTTCTAGCCACTGGCTTAGCCAAATCTCCAGACTCTCCCAAGGACGGTAACAGGCACAGACAAAGGACAAGGATGGCCACGCCGAAGAAAAGGTGTCAGGAGGAGCGGGCAGGCCCGGCTGGATCGGGATCCCGCCTCAGGCCGGCCTGCTGGGGTGGATGCGAGATCCCTGGTCGTTGCGTCCCCAGGGACCGGGACAGCTGGACTACCCGTGTCCCGCGGGCGGCTCTGATCCCGGGGTCTTCGTGGGAAGAGCAGAACCCCGTGGCCCGAGGAGCCGCCCGTGCGCAACCGTGCGCTTGCGCGAGTGTCTCTGTGCGAGCTCGGCGTGCGTGTCCGGCGTTTCTCTGTGTGCGAGGGTGTCTGTGCCTGGGGCTCGTTGCCGGGTGTCTTCCGGTGGGAGGGCGTGTCTCTGCCCTGCAGCGGGGCTGCTTCCGGTCGGATTTCCTTCCGGTGAGCCCTCCCTGCGCTCCCGCCTGGCTGCGAGTGCGGCTGAATCTGCCCTCTGTGGGTCCCTTTGGCTTCGTCCACGGCTGGCTGAGTCGGGGGCTGCCTCGCCGGCAGGGTAGGAATGGTCTCCCCATCCCCAGGGGCCACTTTCCTCCACAGAAGAGGATGACACGACAGCAGCAAGGGAAACCTCAGGAGGAGCTCATTCCCCACGTGCGGCAGGTGCAGGCAGGTGTCAGGGAAGGTGATCCTGAGTGCATTTCCAGTGTCCCCTGGTGGTCAGCTCAGACATCAGAGTGTCCCAATGACTGGGCTGCACACAAGGCGGGCACAGTGTCTTTCCCCAACTGGGGACTCTCTGGCTCCCTGGAGCAAGCGTGCACTCTTTGCCGCCCTCAGGTGGCAGTTGCGAGGCATTGCTCTTGCGTGCGCTCCAGCCTGGCCACGTGCTCCATCTTTTGGCGTCCTCCACCTTTCTATGAGCCTAGACAGTACTTTCTCTCGGCCCATCTTTCCAACGAAAGACCTTCCTCAGTTCATCCCCACTCACAATTTTGGGGATCGTCACACAGGGGTTTCCTGCTGCACATTCTTATGTCGTGCTGAAAAGCTGTGATATACTGCAGATCTGGGTTTCTAACCCTTCTGCCAACAAGGTGAGCATTGGTCCCAATGCCCAATATCCCCACAGGACCTGGTGCAGCTCTCCGTGTCTGGCCTTTGCTCCAGTAAACGAGGTGTTATTGGCCACTGGCACTTTGCCTCTCCTTCTTGGGGCATGTACACTTGCTGTGGGTATCCCCTGTGTTCCTCGTGCAGGGTGCTTGGGGGATGCTCGTTGAAAGTCTGGAATCTTTGGCGGCTACTGCTTTCCCTGTGAGGAAGGCACTAGGTATTGGGTTGGTGCAGGGGGGTGCTGAGGTCCATGGTCCACCTTCTTGCCTCGGGGGCAACGGTGGTGTTTCAGGAGGACAAGGAGGATCCTTCTCCTAATGACTGACCCAGAGATCTGGTGAAGGAGATGAGCATTTATTCACTGGTGAGGCTCAGAGGAGTGGGCCCAAATTCTGAGCCCCAAACAAAGATTGTAACAGTCCTTTATACATTTTTAGGAAGAGTGAGGGGCACAGTTACAATGTAGTTATCTCTATTCCTAGCGGAGGCAGGGTTCTGAGGAGGCAGTGTCAGGCATGCAAGTCAGCCTTGAGTTCTTATCTTTCTGGTGCAGGCCTGTTCTTTGTAAGGAAGTAAGTTACAGAAATCATAAAGCAAGTTAGCAAGTTTTACAACCTTACCTCCTGGTATAGAGTTTCTATAGAATTTCTTCCTGTTTTCTTTGTTTTCTGTTTCACAGGGGCTGGGGACCCCCACCACATTCCCCCCTTTGATTCTTTTAATGAAGGAGTCTCACTTTTAAATGTAATTCTCTTTTATGTAGACTAGTAAAATTTGTTTTTTATAATAGATGTGATTTATCCAGTCTACATTTTTTTTTTAACAGTGACCCACCAAACTAGGAAAGATTCAAAACCTGCAGCTATCTGATACTGCACCTTGAACTCATTTGGCACCAGAACTTCTCTTGTTGCCTCAATAGCATCTAGATATATGTGCAGGTCAAAGGATCCTCCTGGGGTTTGTAGGACAGCTCTCTTGTGTCAGGAGTGAGAATATGGTTGAGATAGGTTATGGGGATGGAATGCCAGGTAAAGAAGATAGGCAATTATCCCAGGGTACAAGTGCCACTATAATTCTCTGGAAGAACCTAAAATAGACCATGTCTACAATACCACCATACATCAGCTCTTGGGATGAGTAAAGCAGTTTGCTTTGCTAATGAGGAGAATTCTTGCTTTTCATTGCACCCAGTCAAATTTCCAAATGAGGCTATCTTCTTCCCCCACCTAGAGAGGCAGGAGGTGAAATTAGCCCCTGCCACAGGCAGCTTCATGGCTCTTGGGTGCTGACAGAGCAAGGGTGGTGAGGTGCAGGATGCATTTCTCCCGGCTTCACTGTGTTGGAACACAGCAATCATGCATGTCATCCCTGCCAGGTCTGTGGACCAGCCTAAAGGAAAAGGAACAACCTGAGCTTCCAGCCTTCCTCTCACACAAGCATAACAGTCGCTTTTGTCTAAAGTGTGGAACGAATATTTGGTCCATTCCATCCAG